CGCACAACTCTCAAGGAGGCACAAGCTGTGGCAAGGTTAGCGGGACTTGGCAAGGCCTGAGACAACCAGGATTTTTTCACCCACTACGAGCGATCTTTTACAGCTCTTTGCATAATTGATGACAGTCAGGAGAAAAAAAAAGAAAGAAAGAAAAATTTGATCCAAACTTGGTTTGCTCATTTCTCATTCAATTCTTGTCCGTTTGAGCTGAAAATAGAGGCAATCAAGAGGGATTTTTGAAGCTGTCATGTCCATACCCTATTCATTTCCCAATTCAAAGTTTCAAGGTAGGTCATTTTTCGGGTGTAATTGATGAATTTCACGCATCTTGGATCTTGTACTGCAGATTCCTCACCCATTTCTGGACGGTTTGCCTCGAAATCACAACCACATATGAGTCCCATGCATCATCCACCTTTCGATGTACTTGTCAGTATGATTGTCCTCCACATCTGTGTGCATTTTATGAATCTGTTGGCGGGCTTTCGGTGGCCCAGGTGAAGCCCACTGACATATTCACTCATTTGGTAAGATTCTGAAATAAATTGATAGTGATGAGTGCATCAATGCATTCTATCCATCAGGGAGTACTATACGCATGTGGTCCCACTCTATTCAGTCCAAAGGCGATCAAGAAAGATGTGTTCCAAAATTGAAAGAATTTCAGTCCAATTATAGGAATTGAGGAAAGAGGATGTTTTCTCCCTCATTCCTTTGAATAATTGCATGGAACTGGGTGCATATAAGAATCCCAGATGTTACTATCGATCGGGGTGATATGCAAAAGACTGGTGATCTGCAAAAGAAAGTTAAATTCATTTCCGGGCTCGATTTGGCTCCAATGTAGCTCAAAAAAATATGGGGATATAGAGCTGCTTCCTTGGAATATGGCCGAGTATCACTCAGAGGACAATGAGTTATATTGAGTGAGCACTGGATCGAAACTTTTTTTTGCAGATCACCCGTTTTTTGATCGCATGGCTCGGCAGCATAATTGCGAGCACAATTCTGCTCACAATCCTCTAGAACTTCGTTACCAGCAAGTTCTGACCAGGACGACCCCATAGCCCGCTGCCGAAGCCAATCAGGCAAAATAAGGACAGGTGCGAGCACCATCAATTCCTTTTTTACATATCACCCCGATTGATAGTAGGAAGCCTTTGGTGTGTCTTGTAGTATGGTTATGTTGCACATTGGTGTGCACTACATGAATATGTCGGTGGGCTTTACCCTGGGCCACTGAAAGCCCACCAACATATTTACACAATGCACACAGATGTGGAAGACAATCATACCGACAAGTATACGGAAAGGTGGATGATGCATGGGGTTCATATATGCTTGTGATTTCGAGGCAAACCGTCCAGAAATGGGTCATAAATCTGCGGTACAAGATCCAAGATGCGTGAAATTCATCAATTACACCCGAAAAGTGACCTACCTTGAAACTTTGAATTGGGAAATGAATAGGGTATGGACATGACGGCCTCAAAAATCCCTCTTGATTGCCTCTATTCTCAGCTCAAACGGACAAGAATTGAATGAGAAATGAGCAAAACAAGTTTGGATCAAATCTTTCTTTCTTTCTTTTTTTCTCTCCTGACTGTCATCAATTATGCAAAGAGCTGTAAGTCTTGCACTGAGTACATAGTAACAACGGACAATGAATCAATATTATTCATACATAGATACCTGGTCAATACAATCGAGAAGATAATGCTTAACTGGTCTCGCGGTAAATCTGGGACATGATATTACGCCACCGTCCGCGCACAATGAACCAAACCAGATCGATCAAGATATACAGCCTCTCTCAATTGAAGTAACTGAATCTGACGGCACTGTGAAAAGGACGGACGCAGGTCTCACCGACTGCCTTGACAACGCTCAACCGCCCTGGAAACGGTGCCAACGCACTGCCAACGCCACCAGCGAGTAGCACTCGGCAGGACATCGAGAAGCCTATTACTCGGAGAAATTTGAGGTGGGGACTGTACTAACGAGGCGCCAGAACTGTTGCGTGCGCGACGGCGAGCTTCTCACTCAGGTTCGGAGTGTCGTGTCGTGTACGAGTAGTATATACAGCGGGGGAAACATGGGGGTCGCCACTCGCCAGCGAGTGAGCGTTTGTGGGGCAGCACTGTCGACCGAAGATCTTGTCAACGAGGTGGAGCGATGATGTCATTCATTGGGAGCACTATATTAAGCGGCAGCCTGTGACGACGTGACTCCACCTCTCTTGCCCTCGTACCACCACCATCATATCGTCTCATTGTACATTGGTGGGGGATCTTTCATTCGCACCTGCAAATACTAATCATATTCATAGTTCATTCTCATCGGGTCTACGTGCGCCAAATTCTTTCGAATCCACAAATCACTAATTCTACTTCGCCTCCGACCAGGTACGCCTGACTGCGGCATCCGCAGGTGCGTCTCCGCTCCCGAACTAATATCGCGTTCGGGAAAGTTCACCCATGCCTGCCGCTGCCGCACAACTATCTTGTAGTTCGCAGTTGTTGTAATAGATCTCAATAATATATGATTTTTCAAATGACTTTTTCGTGCATCAATCGAAAGATTGTGAACTGAGGAAGGAAGCATTATTTATAGGCTGCTGTGGAGCCGCTTGCGAAGCGTTGAGTGTCCTTGGGACTTCGGCTGTCACCCGGACGCCTTGAGAGAGCCTGGGAGTCACCTCGAGCCTTGGAAGATCTTGGGGATATCTTACCTGTGTGCTGCAAGCCACTTAAAACCATACGACCTTCCGATGTCTTGGGACACACCCCAGGATGTTTCAAGCCGATCAAGATTTTTCCGACACACGTGGCTCATTTTTTTCTCCTTTCCAATTCCATCCAGGAATTTGTGCGGCATAGCTGAAGCCACCCCAACCGTAACCCGAAAGGTGAGTCAACAGTTGACTGCCATCGATTCACTGGTGAACAGTCATGTACAGTTTCTGCCCGGCTAGACTCTACTACCATGTCCAGTGGCGCCGTCCATAAAGCAGATCGTACCCGCCTCGAAGACGTAGAGGCGGAAATACTAGCACTCGAACGAGCGCTCAATGTATTGCAGACGGAGCGGTCCCTCATACAGGAACGACTCGGCACGTACAAATACCCAGTCTTGACATTACCCAACGAAATCGTATCCGAGATCTTCGTTCACTTCCTTCCAGCCTATCCTGACTGTCCGCCCATGACTGGACTCCTTTCGCCGACGCTCCTCACCCATATATGCCGGAAATGGAGAGAAATTGCTCTCACTACTCCGACCCTATGGAGAGCAATAGAGTTGCCTTCGGATCTGGATCCTATACAGCGGGTTCATCTCTTTGACTCGTGGCTAGAGCGGTCCTGTTTCTCTCCACTCTCCCTTAAAATTGACCTTTACTCCCCCGGTGTGGAGATTGACGTCCTCCAGACACTCCTACCACACCGAGTACGCTGGGAGTTCCTGGAACTCAACATTGAGGGAGACCACCTTCACATCCTCAAGGGACCCACCCCTCTACTCCGCGAACTTCATTTACGGCTCGATGAGTCGACTTCATCTCGGGTCTCTTTATTGGAGGATCCGCTACTCCGCACAGCTATTCTCGGTGATGATGCCGCGGCGTCCGTCATCTTACCCTGGGCTCAATTGACATCATTGTCTTTGCATCGGGTATACCCCCGGGAATGTACGCCAATCCTGCTGCAAACCTCCAGCTTGGTTCATTGCGAGTTGAGGCTCTTCCGCGACCATCCCGATACCATTCAGCCCGATCTCAAAATTCCATATCTGAAATCATTGATCCTCGTCAATGAACACCAACAAGCGCCGGAATGTCTAAACACCTTTATCGTCCCCGCCCTACAGAAACTCGAAGTCCCAGAAATGTACATCGGGACAGACCCTGTTACTGCACTCACGTCGTTTATCGCGAAAGCTGGCTGCAAACTGCGGGACGTTCGCATCCCGGGCCCCAGATACGTATCGAAGGCGCTATATTGCAAGGCATTTCCACTCATCTCAAAATTTTGCTTCGACGACGAGGGCAATGAGAAGGTGGATCGTTTTGTTTGAGTCAGTCTTGGTACGTTCAATATCCTTCTCGCTCCTTCTTCGCTCCGTTACTCATAAGTAGCTTTCGTCTAGAAAAATGCGCTTCTGTTCTTTGCGAAGCGTACCTCGCACTCAGTTTAGACATTTTCACAGTTTTACGAGCTCAGTGCTCTTTTTCAATCCTATTCCTTCGTTGTTACGCCTGGTCGCATCAAGATAAGCACTAGTGATTTCAAGCACTTTCATCTTGGTGTCGCACGATAGTAAATCATTGACTCACCACACTCATTGCACAGCGAACAAGTCAAACAAGGTACCACAGGAATACTTTTCATAACGCTCGCCCATTTTTGCCTTCATCCAATCTCAGTCATGGTCCACGGCCTCGCGCAGCTCCCTCTGAATATTCAAGTCAGAACCGCTCTGAGATAGCGACGCCAATAGTCGACACCATGCGATGTTTTCTTCGGTGGGATGTCAGCTGACTTCTTGAACGATACAAGGCTCAACACGACTAAAACGAGGGAGTCGGAGTGAGACAAAATTAAGTTCGTGCGCCGACGATGTCACGAATCGTAGTGTCGGCTCTTGGCATTGCGGTTTCCCCCCGTTTTTACCCTTGCAAATCACGTTACGCAGTGCTCTGCTCGTGTGTGTCCATACAAATTTCTAAGCAGGCTCGTCGTGAGGAACTCTCCATTTCATGTTGTCTGAAGGTGAGTCAGCTCTGTCTTCAAGGTGGAGGATTTCCACGGTCCCGAACACGTCGGCGAATCAATTAAATCAAACTTCAACCATAACAATCGTATTTTCCATCTTATATTGAACGCTGTAAATATGTGCTAATGAACGATTCGAGTGTGATTCAACAAAAATGAAGCAAAACAACGTAGAAGAAGAACCACAAGGATGACGGCAGGCCTAGAGAAAAAGATACTCGTTCACCAGGCACCCTCGGGGAATCCAACCCCGGATCCCCTCAGAATATTTATGAGGGGGTGTTACCACTACACTAACGGTGCATTCTCAGTCAGACGGCTTGGATGGACACATGAGCATTCCAACCCAGCATGCTATACATTAAATTGACAAGGCTTGGACGCTGTGTCTTACACCCTACAAGATGGCAACCACCAGTCGAAGAGATACGGCGGAATGAAAGAGAAGGGATGTCTCCGATAAAGATCGAAGAAAGGAAGGGAGGGAGGTAAAAATGTGGGAGAGCGGCATCTGCTCATATCGTCTGGGCGTTAAAAACCAGCGTGGATCAGTACATCATTTTTCAACCAAGTTGCATGCACCACTTCAACCCTTCCAGGGCCTACCGTCCGTTCCCGATGCAGGAATTTTCGTCCTTTCCAGAAGCAAGTGGTATGTCGAAAGACGCCGGTAAGTATACAGGATGGAACTCCCATCTCATTTTCTCGCGGTCACAAAATTAGCCAACCGGTAGTTCTGCGAGCCTCGGCACTCCTTCCAAAGGCACGGCTCTGATGCGGAGATTTTCAATCAAGTATTTAGCGTACTCAATTCTTAGGTTGTAGCTGCATCGCGAGGGTCGATATTCCGATCTGCCTGCAATCTCAATCGTTTGGTCGAATGTATCCGACGAGGCAGGAATTGACATGCCCTCTTGTGAGCATACGGCGTACCGACCAGGAGTTTGAGCTCCTTACAAGGCGGAGATACAGCATCGAAGTTTGAACTCTTAGAGAACCGATCAAGAAGGGGAGTTTCAAACCATTCACCTTCGGAGAAATTCGAGAGAAGACATCGTGTGCTCGGTTGAGTCTTCAGTGCGTACTATCAATCTCCCAGTCCGATCTGCAAAAGAAAGTTAAATTCCTTTCTGAGCTTGATTTTGCTCCAATTCAACTGGAAAAAAGTACGAGGAGATAGACTGGGAATCTAGCCAGATGGAATCTAGACAAAAAATCAGTTACATTGACTGAGCACTAGATTGAAACTTATTTTTGCACATCTTGTGGCTCGGCAGCTTCATTTCGGACTCAATTCTACTCCCAGTGTTCTACAACCTTGGCATAAGCAAATTAACAGCAGGAGGACCCCATGGCTCGACCTCCGAACGCAATTCAACACAGATACGGGCATATGCGAGCACCATCAAAATATTTTTGCAGATCGGGGAGAATGATAGTAGTCGCCGTCTGCAAGACTCTCCCTGACGAAACAATGATTTTCACCGCTCCAGTCGTATGTATGCGTATGCGCTATTCTTTCCGACGACGCAGGAATTAAGTACGACATGATGTGATCAGTGATAACGTCGGCGAATAGTGATGGGATCACTCGTGGGCTTTCCGCTTCCTCATGGTCCGACTCCGACCCACGTCCGGTTCTTCGAGGCCGTGCCCATCCACCGCAAGAATGTAAGGGCAACATATCGGGTGTATGGCATCTCAAAGCCCTACACTTCTGCGATGATACATTGCTTTGGAGATGGGAAAGCGCTCCGGGGCCGACGCTGGCCGACGACGACGAGTATGTATGCAATATGTTTGTGAGGGAGTATCATACTTGTGGGCATGCAACCAGAACTATGGATAATTTGGTTCCTCTATCGAATTGGTGCCGACTTGTTCCTCAAAAAAATCCCAGAAACTCCCTAGTCTAATGCCTATGCATCACACCTCGAGGCCTCATCTCAAGAAGGAAAATTTCTGCAAACATAAAATGTTACTCTCGTCCGTGGCCGGCTCCGAGGACCATCCAAAATCTCAAGCTCGGAACCGGCCGTGAAGCATAAATCCCGCACCCGAGGCGGACACGCTCCTGACGCATTTTCTGGAAGAAGCTGGCAGGGGAAACGGCGGACGCACGCGGCGCTCTAAAATATAGCGCGAGGCGCGTCCTGGAGCGCCACAACGTCCACGCACTCGCCAACGACCCTCGGGCGCATGCATCCCTATTGGAATCTCGATCCTGCGACACCGCCCGAATTGCGACTCGGCTTACCTGCCCCGACCCGAACTCCACGCAAATTGTGAGTAGCAGCGGCGATCGACTACTAACAGAAATAACCACATCAACAGAAATAACTACGCCTACGCGGACGAATCCCCCCGAATAACGCGCCGAGGTAATAATATCCAAGTGCGACGGAATTGCGCCGAATGAGGTAGAAATGAAAAACGGGTTTCCCGCTCCCCTCTATATGGACGGACGTACGAGGAGGTAAGCAAGGATCCAAACCTGTATTTTTGACTTCTGACATGCGATAATGTACCTTGACAGGGTGACCTGAATAATCGACTTACATAGCTTCAATAAGAGATCAATTTACCGCCGGCGACTTATAGTTTGGTAAGAATGTTTCGTTAGGTATATATAAAACACCGCACTTTTCTTTTTCTTCCTTCCTTCCTTCCTTCCTTCCTTCCTTCCACATTCATTCGTTTGCGTTCTCCTCCCTGCGAGTGAAACCTTCTCTCCACCGCGACTACTGGAACATATCAGACAATGGACTCACCGCGCTCCACACCACCCTTCTCCCTGCGCGAATCCGGCGACCTCGTCTCTGCCGCGCTTGATCCGCCATTTTCCTCTGTGTCCTCTCAATCATCCTCTACTTCTTCACCATCGGCGTTCTCTAGTTTGCCATTCAGTTCCCCATTCTGCACCTACCCCACCTCGACTTCGGTCTCGGATTCACACACCCGTACCAATCGGATGGAAAGAGAGCGGAGTCGAGGAAGCCTGCACACGAGACTGACGCGCTTCAAGCGGCGCGCGAGCGCGTTTGTTGGGAATGGGTGCCTCCCCTTACCTCTCCATCGTTTCCTGTTCTTATTTCGATTTACGTTCAGATATTCGCCGAGTAGTACCGCCTCTTCTGGCAGCAATTCGAAGTGGGCCGCCGTCCCCTCAACCAATTCCCGCACACTCCCAACCTCCCCTTGCCCATACCACATCCAAGACCTAAGGCGGTCCGCACACGTCGCACCGCGCGAGTTGGAGTTCGTGCCGTTTCTACCGCCAGTGGTGCAGTACGAGCGGGAGCGGGTGACGGCCTCTTCTCCGAATTATGTGGGTACTTCGGCCTATGCAAGCTCCTCCCCATCCTTCGGCGCGGAGTACATATACGTGCACGCGCATGCCGCCTCCGGCCTCTCTTTCCATTCACCTCACACTGCCTCGGCATCCTCTTGCACTCCCTCCCCGACTTCCTCCACCTCGTCCTGCTCCCCATCCTCCTCTCCCAGCGCCTCATCGTGTTCAACCTCGACGTCCTCCGAATTCCCTCCAACACCGACAAGTCAGATCATTCCGCCAGTGTTCGAAGAAGTCAAGCCGCGGCGCTCGTCCGTTACTTCGGATGAGGAGGGCGAGAGCGGCGATGGAGAGCATCCATTCCTGATTGGTGAGCCAGAGAAACCACCGCGATCCCCACCGTGTGTCCTCTCCACACGCTACCGACTCCCCTCCCCCGCCGCCGCATCCCTCTTCGCGCAACCCAACCCCCACCCGGATGAAATATAGGCAGCATATCTTAAGATATACGCGCTAAAAGCGCGCGCGCTACTTAAAGTTCTACCAGATCTTAAGTTCCGTCCCCCCTTTGGGGCCCCCATTCTCACCCTCACCTATCCACTACCCGTCTGTCGGCCTACGCACTTAAGTCCGGGCCGCAACTTAAGATGCGCGCTCTTAAGTCACCACTCACTTAATATCAAGAACTTACCTGTTGTCGCGCCCGACTTAAGACACCCGACTTAAGTCCCCATCACTCAAGGCCAGCCATCTTAAGAAACAGTTCGTATATTGTAGACCATAGAACTTAAGACCTAGACTAGGGTTAGGGGTTACACTAGAAGTCCTTGTACGCTCTGTAGATTCCCTAGTACGTCGTCAATAAATCATACAGCATTCAAACTGAAGCCACTTACCATGTCATCCATCCATTTGAATACCACATCCCGCCACCCGTCGATCTTTGTTACCAACTCGTCGTAGGAGGTCGAAGAAACCCAGTCGTGATGCGCACCCGAGTCCGCACTCTTGAAGATAATCACAGCGTTGTGCTGCAGGCGCCTGTACATTGCCGCCTGCATGCGGGCGTACGTCACTGTGCCGTCCATCGCGCCCCCGTTCTCGCTCTGGGTGCGGTCCGCCCGGCCCGCCCACACCACCCCATCCCGCTCAAACCGAGTGATTACCCGCCAGAGCTCAGCGTGCTTCCGCTCGTACAGCTCGAGCCACCTGTACATTTCCGCTTCGGCGCGGAACCATTGGACACGATCGCCTTCGTCTGGAATCAGAATCCACCACAGATGTAAGCTCAGAACTCACTTTCTTTCTTGTACGCCACCAGCTTCTCATCGCTCAGACCCGCCACATGCGGTGCCATACTCTCTATCCAGATCCGTCCGTCCCGCTTGAGCGCCTTCTTTTTTCGTGCTGGCAACTTCCCGATGGCGCCCTTGGACGGTGACATCTCTGCCTCGCTATCTTCTGCCTCTGACGCCGACGACTCCACGACGACGTCCTCGGGAGCGATGTCTTTCAGCTCTCTGGGACGTTTACGCTTGCGGGGAGATCCAATGCGACCTGTAAAATATTAGTACATCCCATGAGAGGCTGATACTGACTGAATAAATCCATACCTGCGCGTTTCATTGTCTGAGTCCCCATCAAGAACTCTGTCTCGTCGTCATCCTCTCGCAGCCTCTTGGTCGGGGACAGCGCCCACGCGGCCGATGGGCGCTTCAACCTCACCCCGCTCTGCAGGTACCAGGCCGTTCCGTCGAACAGACGCGAGTCGCCCGTGGCGCGATGCAAGTGCGTCTCCTTCCGCCGGGTGTCCCGATGTGTCAGCGGCGGATATGGCTCCATTGCGTCCTTGGCCATATGGCCCAGATAGATGAGCGCATCTCGCGCCCTGTTGTACATGTCGATCTCGAAGGTTTTCCCGAGCTCCGCCTTTTGCCAGTTGCGCTGCGTACGTGAAGTTCCTGCCTGTCCCCTGTAATCATCATCCCGTGCTCTCTTCACCGCCGACAGC